AGAGATGGGTGGTGAGGTTGAGAAAGTAAGCCACAAGTCAGGTCTCAAACTGCAGTCAGCCATGTGGGAGTCTAGCACCCAAATCACCAACCACCATGCTACCTGCTGGTCCCCATATTTATTTTCTTGACACTGAACATTGTATTACATTGTGCATATTTGATAATAATTCTACTAGTTTTTGGAGGAGAAGTATATATTGAATTATGAATGGCTTCTCTTTTTTTTTTTTTGGCCAAAGAGCATGCACACTCACCAGATATAGACAGATAACTAGGCCATGGGGCCAGCCCTCCTTTAACAACGTTTATTATTCTTTTAAAAGCTTTTTGTCATAGGCACCTGTGCTAGCTGGAGAGAGACAGAGACAGAGAAAGGGAAAATGAGAAATCCTTTTCCAGGGAGATGGCAAAGCTACAATCCCTTCTCCTCTATTCTCCCCCTGGGATTTGGGGCATGCACGCACATGCACCCAGTGTGATTTTCAAGCCACCAGGTTCGGGACTTGAATTGCAGTCAGCCATGTCAGAGTCCAGCACTGTAACCACTATACCACCTGCCCACCCCCTTAACACCATTTCTCACTCTGCTGTTGCACACTGTTTTGTAACCTATCCCACTTGTTTACATGCATTCTGTCTGTTAATCATTTTCTCCTGTGCTATGACATAGCATTATTCTCTCTACTTCTATGCTATCAAGTCCTTCAGTTTCTGCCATACAGTGTGGACATTTGGTGCGTGTTAAGCTGGGACATACAGTATTTGTCTTTTAATTTAAAAAAATATTTATTTCATTTTATCTTTTAAAAATTATTTTATTAGTTATCTTTTAAAAATAATTATTTATTTTCTTTTATTTATTTATTCATTTATTTTTAAATTTAACCAGAGAGAGACAGAGGGTGAGAGTGAGAGAGAGAGGAAGTGAGAAAACAAGCTACCAGATTCAGGACTCAAACCCTGGTCGGCCATGTGGGAGTGTCCAGTGCCTTAACCACCATGCCACCTGCTGGTCCCATAAATAAATGTGAGCATGCTCATTCTTTTTTCTTTTTTTTTAATTTTTAAAATTTTCATTTGTTCATTGATTTATTTTAATTTGACCAGAGAGAGACAGAGAGAGAGAGGGACAGTGAGAAAGCAAGCCTCCAGGTCTGGGACTTGAACCGTGGTCAG